ATTGTCTCATACATTTTTGTAAATTTAATCAATTATATTCCAAAGTTAATATCTTTTAATATATATATATATATATATATATATATATATATATATATATATATAATGAATAATTTTTTATTGCCACATTTCAATTATTAATAATAATATTATGATCAGACCAGAGGGTTTACTTTATTGTGCTATGCGTTGTTTGTGTGGTATTTGATATAATCATACAATAATGAAAACAGAGGACTTATGTTTAGACCAATTGTAAATTTCATTGTTCACACTCCTTCCAAATATAAAAACATTAAATGACCTCAACAATTTGTGACTTTCACCATAAGAGCCAAACACCAAGTACTCTCTCGAATCCCATTGCGTTGAAACTTAACAATATTAACATTTTCTAGTGCTGGGTTCAAACTTCAAAGATTCCTTCCTGGAAATTTTAGCAGCATTCACTCCCATTGGACATGAAGCTCTGATCTGGTCTAAAAAAATGTACAAGTGACTCTTATTTTTCCATGTCTTGCTAAGGAAATTAAAGTGAAAAGTGATAGATAGACTGACTTATTTGTGCACCAGTGTCTTCTCTCATTTGGCTGATACGACAAGCTAAAGTTTGATTTGTTTTTAATCCAATAATTAAATCACCTACACTATATAATAAGTATTAGTAAATTATTAGTGGTAGTGTAAGGCAAGGTTCGAGCGTGTTCACTCTAGCCTAGTGTTGAACTAAACATTATTTAGATGTGGAAACTTATTCTCCTAGTTCTCATCTTCAAATTTAATAAGATAGGCCACATATAGCTGAGAGACAATGGACAAAGAAATCCATGAAGAAGGAAAGTGATAGCCAATTTAATTACAATGAAAGTTATTATTTATTTATTTTTCCTGAGTGCTTGCCGTTGGTATTTGTCTTTATTTTTCCACCATGTAAAGTTCAATTGACTGATTGGTTTGTTTTAAGGACAACGACAAAAGGCAAGTTGAAGTTAAATTTGGGTGGCATTAAGTTTGTTTTTATTTAGTTCTTTTTCACGTTCACAGTTAATAAATGGGATCATGTATGTAAGTTAGCACACTTTTTAGAGGACAAATCTCTCTTTTCTCCATTTGTATTAAGGTAGGATTAGACTAATGTGACCATAGCTGCCGTGTAATTAACATGACAATAATGTCCAAATTAATATTATCCTCAAGAGCTCCACCTGCTTTGAATGGGGAAGTATAAAAATCAATGTCGTTTGACATAAGAATTAGAAGGGGAAGCAATGAGGAAAAAGCCTACTAGGCTACTACATTGACTAAATTGTTTATTTGTTGTGACCCCAATTCCCAATCATGCATTTACAATGACTTTTAAAACTGCTCTGTAATCACTGGGATAATTCATTCTACTGTTAACAATAGGTCAAGTGGTCAATTGAGTGCACACTATCGATTATTGAAGCACAATTGACAATTTAGAAAACTGGGATGCCTTAATCTTAGAGCCCAGTAAGAGTTGTTTGATTATTAATTTAAGGGTTAAAAACTTGTCTTAGCAATTTACAACTATCTATTAAGGATAGTACATCAGTAAACAATGTGTGAAGAGAGAGAGAAAAAGTACAATTTTAATATTATAACTATGTATTACCCTTTGTATATAATTATAAATTGCTAAAAGGACTAAGTTATATTATTTAAAAGGACAAATCATTTTCCCTTAATTTAATTATAAATAGGAAAATAAAAGGCTGAAAGAAAGAAAGTTAGACTATGAAATAATCGTGGGCTCAGATAGTTGGTCGAACTGAAGAAAGATATAAAGCCTAACCTATTGGGTCTTGGATAATCTGCATGTTGAGGGTTCCCCAACTCCCTTAAAAAGGTGTAGCCTTATCCACTGCAGAAAGTGCAAAAGCCTTTTATGCATTGCAGGCCCATGTTAGTCCCAGTTGTATTTTTATTTTTTTGGTCTTACCAAGTTTCTTATACCTTGTTTCTATCATTGCAAAGTCCCCTCAACCAAGGTGGTATTCTTTCTCTTGAGCACCCTTTACTATTCTTTAGGGCCCGTTTGATACTAGATATATTTTACATTTCCCTGAAAACCATCTTTGGAGAAATAAGGATCCCATATTTGGTGCAAAAAAATGAAAAACTTTCATGACAAATATTTTATCCCAGAAATTGATGTTGTGTTAAGTTGTGTACGGTGCTCAGCTAAAAAATCCCATGGATTAGATGGAAAATTTTCGTGTGCCTGGAGAAGTGAAAATTAAGGCTTGAATATGTGGACGAAACTAACCTTGTTTTGTGGACGATATCTGTGAAAACTCTGTTTACACATCAGAAGATATACGATGAAGAATATTGACATATTGGCTGAAGTCCGGAAGTCCTAAAAAAGTCTTTTTTTTTGTTTTGTTGTAAACAACTATGTGCAGATATTTTCTTACGTTTAACATTTCATATAATATGATATTAAAAAATAAAAGTGGAGTTATTTTTGTAAAATACCATTATATTCCCACTAATATTTCACAATCAACCAAACACACACTCAGTAAAATAAACTACAAAATTCCTAAAAATTTTGGTCATACCAAACAGCTTTTAAGTAACATTCTAGAAAAATATATTTTCCACTACATTCTAGTAATCTATTGTTTCCGAATAAATAAAAATTTCTCTCTTACCAAACATCTCGTTAGTGTTTAGTGGTGTTTGCAGTTTTCCTTGGTCTTTTGCGGCCTTGAGGGCTTGCGGTTTTTTTTTTTTTGTTAGTTTGCTGGTCGGCAACTAAAGTTTCGGTTATATTTTCTGATCGTTCAAGTTTTTATATCACGGTCGTATGGGAATATTATTATTTTTGGATAAATTTATGTTATTGTTAAATATCATAGATACAAGAGGAAATGATAGTAATCCTTGTTTTATTAAACTACACAACATTGGTGCTATTATATAGCAAATCAATTGAAGAATACAAAGAGACACACTCAATGTGGGACTTCTACACTATTAACACTAACACTCTTAACACTCCCCCTCAAGCTGTAGCATATAGATCGTATGCTACAAGCTTGATACATAAATAATACTCCCATTAGGAACCAAAAACAACAATGCTACATCAACGAAATGAAATGACTAAGTACAACAAATCAACTGGAATGACCATCAATCTGAAGAGCTGATAAAGAGACAGTGCTGGAATGGACATCAGAGCATGGATGGTGCCGGAATTATCATCGGCAAAGACAACTGAGCTGACCAGGACATCAGCATCAAGATCCCTCTCAGACATTTCATTTAACAGTTGGTGAGCAGTCGCGGTTTACCCTTGACTATGCTATAAGCTTATTACAAGAAAGACCAAGTAACATAACATCAAAATAAATCTCCTAAATGAGAAACCAAAAATCAACAATGTGCTAAAAATGGCGTCGAAATGAACATCAACATGGAAGATGCCGGAATGATCATCGGCAAAGACAATTGTGCTAGAATGACCATCAGCAACATGGACGGTGCTCCCCCTCAAGAGGAACTTCTAAACAGTGCCGGAATTATCATCGGCAAAGACAATTGTGCTGGAATGACCATCAGCAACATGGATAGTGCTCCCCCTCAAGAGGAACTTCTAAACAGTGCCGGAATTATCATCGACAAAGACAATTGTGCTGGAATGATCATCAGCAACATGGACAGTGCTCCCCCTCAAGAGGAACTTCTAAACAGTGCCGAAATTATCATCGTCAAAGACAATTGTGCTGGAATGACCATCAGCAACATGGACAGTGCTCCCCCTTAAAAGGAACTTCAGTGTCGGAATTAACATCAGCGGAGACAACATCAACAACTTGGACAGTGCTCCCCCTCAAGATGGATGATGAATAGTATAAATACTCCATCTTGGGAAGAAAGAAGATTAAAGAAAAACAAAGCTTCGCGGAATCGGAAAAGTCGCCGGAGACGGCGATGGGTCGTCGGAAAAGTCGTCGGAGACGGTGGTGGATCGCCGAAAAAGTCGCTGGAAAGTCATCGAAAAAGTCACTGGAAAAGTCGCCGGAGACGGCTGTCAACGGTGGACGACGCGATCAACAGTGGTCGGTGACAACGGTGGTCAACCCAACAATTTCCTAAGGATCATTCTTTTCTGATGTGACAGACCAGTCTAAGCTGCAGTCACAGAACATACTAAGAAAAGCCCGAAAAAGAAATAGCAACGGGAATCCCTCAAGGAGGGTGATATCTCTCTATAACCATATTGAAATTATGGAAAATAGAACTAAGTTAAACGGATTAAGATTCCTCTTGTTAGGCTCTGATACCATGTTAAATATCATAGATACAAGAGGAAATGATAGTAATCCTTGTTTTATTAAACTACACAACATTGGTACTATTATATAGCAAACCAATTGAAGAATACAAAGAGACACACTCAATGTGGGACTTCTACACTATTAACACTAACACTCTTAACAGTTATCTTATTTTGAAGCGCATTGTTATTGAGATGTGGTGCATGCAAGGTGGGTAAATTTTCTGCTCCACATTGAACGTTAGATACTAAAATCGGTGGTAGTGTCTGACACCTAAACATAATCTAATTGAAGAGTTTGTAGTTGAACCTCGATTTGCTATCAAATACAAGGACCATACATTCACGACAATTATAAATGATTTTCGGTTGTGATACTTGAGATTTTGAATTCTCGTCTCCCAATCTCTCATTTAAGGTATCTTATCTAAGATACTTGGCAATTTTAAATTCTCCATACCTAACCTCTCCTGTGTGTTTTAAGAAAGTATGTTTTAAATTCATAAAGTTTTGGCAGTCACAAACAAGTCACCAATAATAGCATCAAGACCAAGAAGGGGGAAGAGCAATGACATTCCTTTTCTCATTATAGTACATCAAAACTGGGTCACTAATAGAGCTCATCTCTAAATCAAGACCAGTAATGGCTGATTGAATTTGCATCCCCATGATATAGCCACAATCAACATACACTATTCTTGGTGCTACATTCTTTAGCCACATGCCAACATTTTCCTCAGAGTTCCATTGAAGAATCAGCTTGAAGATGTCAGTGAGCTCTTAACTCCTAATGCTACTTCAGTGAGATGATTATACAATGATTGAATAGAGCTCAAATACTGCAAAACATGGTCTAAGATACTGAATGCCTCCTACTTCTAGATGGGGTAGATTTTGTTTCCTCTACAACTGTAGAAGCAGGGCTCTCTGATGTATCAGAGCTAGTTAGCTCACCACTTCTTTCTTTACTTGACCAAATCTTAGAGAATATCTTCTTTGACATGAGACCTTTCATTTTACTAGCAGCAACTTTCTCAGTATTGCCTTTACCACCATCATTGCTGTTTCTGCTGCTAACCCCACTGCTCCCACCTGATAATTTTAGGGTAGCAAGTTCTGCTTTCAGAGCTCTTATGTCTTCTACTGTCCCCGCCGCATCCCATTCATCTTCTGTATTGGTTAGAGTAGACCTTGAGCTCCCATGAGATCCACCAGGAAGCAAGGCCCTGATAGAACCGTGAAGATCTGGTGTGTTGTTGCCTCCAGAACATGTAGTAGCTCTTAGCTGTTCAAAGAAGAGAACCTGCACAACAACACGCATCGGAAGCCGTTCATTCTGCACAGCATGCATGCATGCGTCTATAGACAACTTTCTGCAATCCATCAACCTACATATTCTTTTCCTCTCGCTCTTGCTGATTCCAGGATGTTCCTGCATGACATAGAACGTACATTGAACCTTGGAAATTAGATTAATATCAACGACATTGATCCATTTACTTTTATGAAGTTAACAAGCAAAGTCAATTTAGAGACGACTTTAATGTGAAAATAATATTTCAGGACTATAGGAAAAATCATCACACCAAAATAAATCATCATTAAAATTTACAGGGATGAATATGTAACAGATGGTGTCAGTTAGGAGTTAATTATTCCTAGCCTATTGGAAAATCTCCTTAGAGGAAGTACTGTGAGGAAGATAACATACGTCTAAAAATAGTAATGCATTTATTGACTTTTCAGTGAGTTGTACAATTTTGGAACCCCAGACATTCATTTAGGACAAATGTGAGAAGATGATACCTGGCAGGATCTATATACTTCCAGAAAAATAACTTCAAGTACAAGGAATTTACCTTTAAATATATGTCAATGGCACGATAAAGGCCATCATGAGATGCTCTTGGGAAGCTTGAAACCAATTCAGCAAGATAAACAAATTTTGAAAGAGGTAAATTGGGATCGTGTGCAATCTCAGCAAGATAGCCATCCACCAGTTTTGCCACCTTAATCTTAGAAGGATCTGATACCATCATGGGGCTTCTGATCTCCTGCAATTCATCTTCCAACAGAGAATCAGTCTGAGCATGCTGCTCTCGCGCTACAAACTCTTCAACTAGCCTTTGCACAGTATCAACATCAAAAATTGCCTCACCAACTGGGGCACGAATCAGTAGATCAGCCACCTTAGCCTCCTCAAGGCACTGACCTATTCTCCTCATCAGTTCAGATCTCTCCAACTCTTCACATTCCAACAGCAAAGCTGCCCTTAATAACTTCAGCAAGAAACTGAAAGAGGCGCTGCCTGTATTTGTGGGCAATAGTCGGACTATAGTCTCCAGCAATACTCTATTCTTTATGACATCTCCTTGGATCACACCCTTGTTGAAACCAGGTATCCTTCTTGAGGCATAAGAATTTAGAGCTTCTCCAATTACAACACCAGAAGCATTGCCTTTAGTTATAATTGTTGTTATGACCCGTTCATAGAGATCAAGTTGGAGCTCACAAAGGTCCTCCACCCACCAGTCCTTTGGAACCAGTTGTTGTTTCTTCACACTATTCAAGTGAGGATCATTACCATTTTCAGATGTTAGCTTTTTCCTATTATAGGTGTATGACCACTCCACCTTGGATGTATCAATTGAAGCCTTGGTTGCTATGGAATCAAGGCCATGGCTCACTACCTTAAGTTCCTCAGACCATGGACGAAGAGACTTGGTAGTTTGAAGAACAATGATTGAGTCTTTCCAACTCCTGAAAATGCTGGAGTTGAGGAAGACTTCAATCTTGTAGATGAGATTTCCTTTCTCGACAGTTTCATACATCTCAAGATATTCAGCTGCACAGCGAGCTGCAACGACATTGTATGCATTAAGAGTGACTGTCATACCATAACAGAACTTGGCACATATTTCAAAAGCAGCAGGTCCTCCAGGAATGTCATGGATATGGACTTCATCATTGTTCTCCTCATTTGTGTCTGTAACCAGCTTTTGGAAGCGTGCACTTTTTGACAGAAGAGGAAACTGCATATATTGATCAGCTTAAGATCATGATCGGCAGTAGGAAGGATAATGTAGTCCATAATCAGACTAAATAAACATAGGTAGCAAACATGGACATATTTAACAAACCAATCACCTTTAACAATAACAGAGAGTTTTCAGGCTAGTAAAGTAGGTAAAGCCATTATGAAATCCAATTGAGAGTTTTGACAGATATTGTTATCCACAATCCTAGCGTCCAGCTACCAGAACAATTTGAAAATGTAAAATCAAACCATCCTAGTCATCGGAATGGTTAAAAACACAAAGTGACGTACATAATCTGACCCTACCTAAACTAGTCTTCATAATACATTAAGAAAAGAAATTTCCATGCCATTCAAGAGGATAGAACGGATTAGACTAATATAGAACAGCATTTGACCCCATATTCTTCCTTTTAATAAGTATTGACAAGACATATGAAGTTGGTTATTGTTTGCCTCCATAAGCAGACATTTCTAACTGTTGAATTAAATTATGGACTTCTCTTTCTAATACAGGGATCAAGAGATGCCTTAATTGACAAGAAAAATCAGCTGTTTATTTACCAAGAAAGATATATATCAAATTACTATATCACCTCAACGTCAGATTGAATCTTACCTTATGGAGACAAAATTTTACATCTCCAACATTAATGACTATGTCAGTTGCCAACTCATTCGCTACATACCTGACAAATATATGATGGTACATGTTAGTTTTAAATGAAAGAAACAAATCAAGAAATAGAAGAAACAGAGATAGAAGAAAAATAAAATCACAATAAAAATTTATTGAACCCACCGCAGATGAAAAATGTGACATACAACTTACGCAATTTAAGATTCAAAGGAAAGAACACTATGTCTCTTTTTTCTTATTGCTTAGATTACCGAAATTGATACATAGATCTATTATTGTCCATTAAATATGAAGATGTAGAGCATATAACCAAATACGGCCACTCAAAAAAATATAGAAAAGTCAGATGGTAACATAAGCAAGTGCTATATGTTAAAAAGTACACAGATGGAGAATGGGACAGATGAAAATAGTATAATTCATTATGTTTGCATGAAAGTACAGAATGCATATATTGCAAGGATGGAAATTTTGATGATTTCTAGATAAGTTTCCAGTTGATAATTACAATAAATGATCTAAGACTTGTTTTCTATTGGAGTTAAAGGTACTCAGACTTCTGTCATTTGCTCCAAAAGAAAAAAACATCATATTCAGAAACAAAGAAAAAGTTCCTATAAACTAATAAGGTTTGTGGTTACATTACATATATCTCAAGTGTCATAAGTAAAATAAAAGCTCATAGGTTTATGTTAATTCATATTGTTTACTCTGTTAACTGTAGCTGCCATGCCAAATTAGTATGTAACTATTAAACTGCCTACTAATATATATTTATATACATAAGACATATATAGATTTGTTCCTTTATTTATACCAGAAAACGCTCTCAAAAAGAAACAAGATTCTTTTGTAAAATCGAAAAGAAAAGCAATGAATGCTGGTATAACCAGAAAAGTAAGATTGAACAATGAAGAAAAGTGGTTATTTGCGTATGTATATGAAAAATGAAGGAAAGCTCAACAAAACAGAAATCTACAAGGATTGATTGTTCAGAGTCAAGGTAAAACACAAGAATAATGAAATAGTACGAGGAACCAAGCTAAAAAGAAACCAATACTAGGATTTGGAAGGAGAAATTAGTAAGAAAGCATCAGTTGGAAGAAACCTAAAATACAAAATTCCAAAGCAAGAGCTAAAAAGAGATAAAAGGGGGGAAAAAAAACTTCAATATATATATATATATATATATCAAGTGAAGTGAGGTTCGGAGTAGAAAGAGGAGATTGATCTCATACCTGATATTATCGCCATCATTCTGAAAAGAATCTGGCTTAGATCCAAGTTTCATAAACTTCATCTTGGCCAAAGGAAATAACTATGTTGCTCAGTTTTCCTTATCTGGATACAAATCTAAGGTTTCTACTACAGCTGCAAACACTTGGGCAAAACCACCGACTCAAAGTTTGGATTTAAGAAAGAAGGAGTGTACCTTTGCTAAAATCCAGAGGCGAGGAAAGAAGAAACAAATAGATATATGGTATATTTCCTACTAAAACCGAATCTTTTCCACAAATCGAGGCCACTAAGAGTGCCAATATAGTTTTTTTTTCGACATTTTTTTAATAGTTTTTCTTTTGCTCACTTGAAAAGGGAAGAGACTCAAAGAGCATGTTACATAATAAAATGGCAACACAAACCAAGGACCTGGCAGAAGATGGTCATGTTAGGAGACATTGCCAACAGAAACATACTATCTCAAGCATACACATACTTATATATATATAATTTCTTAAAGATAGAATCAGAGACACCCCCACTTGCTCAAAACTGACACCACCGCCCAAATCCTTTTTAAATTTATGTTTCTGAATCTAGATACTCCCTTCCTTTCCTTCTTACTTTGTTGTTCCAACAACGGATTTAGACACCACCAGCAACACCCTTTCTGGTTTCAGGTACCTGCTGCAACACAAGACAGTATTGCACACGTTTAACTCGGCAATAGGAAAAAAAAAAGATCTTTTCAAAGACTATACATATAGGTGGAAAAACTACATTTTTCTGAGACAAATGGACACCCAATTTCATGTTCAGCTTAATAAACAATACGCACAGAAGAAAAATGGAAAAAAAAAAACTTCGGACTTAGTATAAATGGAGCAAACTGTACTGATAAAAGAGAATAAATGAAGAGAATCTCAACGGAAGCACAGAATACGTACCAGACCCAGAATTGTTCTTCTCTTTCTCGGTGTATAAATACTTGAGAAACCAAAGTAGAATGCAGGACAAAAAGAGTGATACAAGTAGAAGCAGATAACAAAAAAGGAAAGTGCCGCAAGAGGGATGGTCACTCAAAAGATTCTGAGCTAATCAAAGAGATCCGAAATCTGAATGCATGTCTGGCTCTGCCGAGTAATTAAGAAGAATCTAATGTGAAGAATGCACGACAACAAACACAAAGTTAAGTGCATGAGTAAGCACTATATCCTGAAAGAAGAAGAACCCCACATATCATATAAACCACCCAAACAAACCCAAAAGACCACTCTTCAAAAAGATGACTTGTTCCTCATCTTTGACAGCCACCACAGCTACACAAACACAAAATGCCAACCAACATCAGAATGTTCCTTCTCTCTCTCTCACAGAGAGCTTTTGAATCAGCACCCTCGCCCCACCACCTTTCTCTTCTTTCCCATTCTCATCTCATAGCCTCTAAAAGGGCGAGGAAATTTTTTTTATCAGAAAATTATAATCCTAAGAATACGATGGAAAGTTGACTTTTTTTTACGCCAAATTATTTCCGAAAATGTTAGATCAATTTTTATAATATGATATTTGGTTGATTAAAAATATTGTTAGAAATGTGTTAAATTTTTCATTTTCTTAAGAATCCAAGAATATCACTCTTTGATTAGTTTTCTTAGTTAAATTTTGCTCACAAAACAAAATCTAAAGTAAATCACATTCACATAAGAATTTTCAAAAATCTTTTATCAAATGTGAGTAACTTAGATTATCATCTCCAGATTTTCAAGAATTTAAACAAAAATCATCTACCAAACACTCATAAATATAATTTGAGAGTATCTACTAGTCGACAATTGAATATTAATTCTCTTAAAGCTTATAGATCACGAAATCAAAACCCTATTAACATATTTAAAACACTTAGAAGGCTTTTGACAGAGGAGAAAATTTTTATTTATCTTTCTAAAAAATTATTACTAGAATGTAGCAGAGAATATATTTTACTGATATATTACTAAAAAGCTGTTTGGTAGACTCATATTTTGCCGGGAAAATGAAGTTAATTTTACTGAGTTTGTGTTTGGTTAGTTATGAAATTTTAGTGGGAATGTGAGGTTATTTTACGAAAATAACCTCACATTTACCTTTTCATTCAAAACATAGGGTCATTTTGGTCTTCCTTTTCCCGCTTCAGTTTCCTTTTCACGGGGAAGCCAACAATTCCATATTTTAATTGGAAATCTTCCATCGTAACTTCAATCACATTTAACACTCAGATCATTTTCCTGGAATGAAGTGTAGCCAGGAAAATTTCAGGATCTCGCGTACTAAACGTGGTGTAACTATTTATCCGTCTTAGCTTTCCCATGCATTCTTAAAAAAGTCGCGTACCAAACGCGTCTTAAGGGGGCGTTTGTTATCGAGATTATATTGAAATTCCTTGAAAAACTTGACCGGGAGAATTAGAAATACATGTTTGACACCAATAAATGCAAATTTTTACTCGATAAAAAGTTTACCTTATTTTTGTTGCTATATGTAAACTCTTGTACGGCTCTCTTGTCAGAAAATCTATTAGGTGGTATGATTTTTTGCATGGAGAAATAAAAAGTAACTAAAATTATATTGACCAAATTAATCTTACTTTTTTGTGTACTAATTTTGAATAAAAAAGTAAAAGTGAGGTTATATTTGTAAAATAACCCGACATTCCTACTATTTTCACAATCAACCAAACATTAACTCAATAAACTTAATCAAATATTCTCGGAACAGATTTTGGTCAACCAAAAATATTTTTGTAATTTATCCGAAAAAAAATATTTTCACTCACATTCTGACAAATTTATTTTCTCAATAAATTTTTTTTTCTCTTATACTAAACACACCTTAACTATCTATCTCTATCAATTATACCGGAGTTTGTTGGTTGTCGTATCCTCTTAGACTACAAAATAAAAGCATTGAGGGTATAAACAACTATCCAAGCTGTCCAACATACATAGGAATAAAAAATTAAAAAGCTAAATAGTTGATTTATAACTCTAAAGTGGGAACTTTTAAAGTGAATAATGAGCTTTATTTTTTATATTTTATTTTGATATATAATAATGAGCTTTATTAGTTCAGTTCTGGTTTAGAAGTAAGTAAGTAAAAGCAAAGCAGCTACTAGTAAAATGATGGCCCCTCACCAAACTCTTTGCTTTCTTTTTCTCTCTCTCTCTCTCTCTCTCTCTCTCTCTCTTTACAGGGTCCACTGTGTCAGTGAAATGCATGCATTACAATTGTAATGGGAACGCAGGGTTCCACTTCGCTGCTCTCTTCGCCAAATACAAACGGCTGCGCTTCGGGACCCCAATGGTCCTCTCTCTCTCTCTTTCTCTGACCCGTCCATGTCTTCCTCTCGTACTTTGATAATAATGAATGATGACGTACATATCTCGCTCGTTTACGAAATTTCTTCGGTACTATCGAGTATCGATTTTCGATGCATCTTCTATAACAACTAACATACTAACATGTGTCTTGTTTTAGTCAAATTTATCAGGTAAAAGAATAATTTAACAAAAAATATACATCGATATTATCGAATAAACTCTCCTCGTTTACCCAACATGGAGGAAAAAGCAACGGTGAAAATTTATCTGCCTTTTCTACTATTTTATAAAAAAAAATGATATTTAAGAGCTAAAATTTAGAGTAAATATTTTTGTTGGTCTCAAACAAATTTTACGATGTTCACTTTAGTCCCTAACAAATAAAAAAGTCCATCATAGTTCCTAAGAAATTCAAAATGGACCAATTTAGTTGAAATCGTGGTCCTTTACAAATTTAAAAAAGACCCATATTAGTCCTCAGAAGGACTAAAATAGGTCTATTTTGAATTTCTTAAGACCCACGATGAGCCTTTTTATTTGTTTGGGACTAAGAGCCCGTTTGGATGAGCTTTTTTTTTAAAAATTGATTTTTTTAAGAAAAAAAAGCACTTCTCAAAAAAATTCTGTTTGGATGTCTGCTTTTAAAAAAAGCATAAGTCATAAAAAAAAGCCATAAACTTACTTTTTTCGAAAGGTAAAAAATTTAGCTTTTTAAAAAAACAGAAGTCAAAAGCTAAATATTTTTTTTCAAAAATCAAATATTTTTTAAAAAATCTAAATAGCTGTAACTTTTATAGAAAATACTTTTAAAATAAGGAAATGATAAAAAGAACTTTTTTAAAAAGACAATACAAACGAGCCCTAAAACGAATATCGTACAATTTGCTAAGGACAAAAAAAAATATTCAGTCTAAAATTTATCTCATGCACTATGGATCTAGAAGAAGAAAAAAAACTGAGTCCCATTCTTTTTTTATATGTGTATAAAATAATTTTTATTCGCCTATGTTAAAAGTGATATTTTTGAAGAATTGATTTTGTTTAAGGGTTTTGCTATTGTTCTGTTACAGGAATCCTATTCTCATTCCTACACACATGCACATTTTTTTATTAAATTGTTTTTTTCAAAAAAAAAAAAAATATATTAGTAGACCCCACAAATATTGTGTCTGTGACATGATGCAAGAACTATCATGTTACATGATAGTTCTATTACCCTTTGTTTAAATGGTAAAGTAGACTTACTTTAAAAATACAAATATATATTAGTATTTTTTTTAAAATTTTACAGTCTCGCATCTGGAATTAATTCCATTCATTGAAGATGATAAAAAATTACTTTCTTAAAATTAATCCTACGACTGAAAATCAAATTGATTTTAATGATCAGGTATCATAATTAAACAGTACAAAGTAGTGAATTAATACGTATTCTTATTTTTCTATCCGGGCCAAAATACAACTAGCTGAGGGATTTGGATGGTTGATTTTTTATTATTATTATTTATTTGATTCATGAAGTATTTATTTGATTAATCTCGTTCGAGGCGTTGTTGAAATATATAAAACCATTAATATAACCTCACCCAAAAACTTAAGCTTATGGGTTGAATTGATTCTTTATATGATATCAGTACTGGGTTCGATCTTCACCGCCCCCACTTTCTCTCTAGTGAAATTTCTTTATTCGCACAGGTAGATGGACCTGTGCATTGTTCATCATTCAAACTCAATGGACTTTCGTGTGAGAGGGCGAATGTAACCTCACCCAAAAGCTTAAACTTTTGGGTTGAATTGGTTCTTTATAAAAATAAAACCACATATACGGTTGATTTCAATCCGAGAAAAAAGAATAAATAAAGCATGAATGGTGATGGATTAAAAATTATGAATTATGTGATTGTGAGGGAAAGTTCAGTCTTTATACAAGAGCAACTCCCTCGTTGTTCATAACTTTTTGGTCAAAATTCCAGACACTCCACATGGTCATGCCCTAGGCCTGGTTCCATTCGTATGTTTCAGTTGCTAACTGAATTTCATTTGGCCTCGCAGTTAGGACTGAATTGGGTTGACCTTTAAGTTAAACAGA